TTCCTGCATTTGAAAAGCTTGGCCAATTTATCAACTTTGAGGCTAACTTTCTGGAGGATTTTACAATACAGCTTTGGGGATAAAGGGGTTGAAAGTTCTAGCGGCCGCAACTGCACACTGAAATAAAGTAATGCAGGCTGCTTTTAAAAGACGAAGTGAGAAAGAATTATTCATGGTACTTTTTTGGCTGTGTGAACCTCCAGAATGACTGGCTAAACCAGAACAGACGGTGGTAGGAGTGAGTAAATTCTGAACAATTTCACTGCTCAAGCATTATTGATTAATAGACTGAAAGGAAGCTATGCTACAACTATGTTTTTGTTTTATCTTTTTTGCTTGTTTGTTTGTTTTCCACAGGTCTCTCTAACTGCAATCTGGTTAGTTCCCTGAGAAGACAGGTACTGAGTTATTTACCTCCAGAGGTGCAAAAGTCCAGAGACTCTGCATCCAAACCAGAAACCCAGTTGCCCTGAGAACATCTATAGATGCAAAGATCTCAACTACCTAAGCCAGGGTTGGCATGACCCAGAAGGACCTGGTTTTGACAGTTACTGGACATTGTAGACCATAATTTTTTCTGGTCTTCCTGCAGGTTTGTTCCAGACAAACATGCTCTAACAGGTATGCCAAAAAAATGGGTGTTTAAAATTCTGTGCCATAGTTAAGGTTAAGAATGGAGTGAAACAGTTAAGTACACTTTGAAAACGCAAAGAAAGATAGGATATAAACAAGCAGATATTTCTTTAAAACACAGCTTTGAAAGATTTACTTTAAAGTAATATATATTTAAAAGCAAAGTGCCTGACTTTTTGCTGAATTACTTATATTTGATTTAGATGGGAATACATTAATTGCATGTAATATGCTTGGAATATGTGGAAAATAACCTTTTTTTTCCATGTGAATCAGCACAGGAAATGATCTGCAAGTGAGTAAAACGTTGAGAATTCTACAGATGGAGGTTTTTCTTAAAAAGTACACAATATTTTTCAACTGTAGAGTACTGACATCATGTTTTCTTCAACAGTGAGGTGTCACAGAGATGATTGATGACACACCAGAGACTGAAGAGGAGCAAGAACTTGCTTCTGATCAGAATAGTTTAAGGCTGTAATCTGATGCAACATTAATTTAACAGTATCTATCTTTGCTGGCGATAGGCGGTTTTGCCTCCCTTAATTTGCCGATGACAAAGCTTACCGTTCTTGCTAAACACAGAAAATAGTAGATAACACGATGCAAACGCTACAGGTATCTGACGTGGTTTTCTTTTCACTGTGATGTAAAATAAAAAACTCATAAAACCAGTGTCTCCTAAATGATGATCTAGTAATACATTCCACAAGACACTTTGATTTTCAAATTTTCCCTTGCTGGGGTTGGATATTAAAATAGTAATAAATACTAAAACCAGCAAATTAATGGTTTTCTAAGAGATGTACTGTGAGAGGATGTTCAAGGGTGGATATATTTAGGAAAATATGTAGCCCTCCATGGAGCTGAAACCTCAGTCCTAAACTAACCGATGTTAGGCACTCACAGCAGCAAAACAGTGAGTGGGAGAAAGAAGTACAGAGTCTGCTCCAACGCACTATTGACTTGCTCTGAAATTATGTGAATTATTACTGTTGAATTCATGATTAGAAATGATGATTTTATTGGAGAATTAGATGCTGTAAGAAGGCCCCATTAATGTAAAATGGATTCTGCATGCACTCTTCAAAGCTTCTTCAAATATGAAATTTCCTCCATTATTTCATTTGACAGAAAATTACTGCTTCTGTATCAAATTTTCCTTCTGTTTACTGAGGTGGAACTTGAGTCCCAGTCTAGTGCAATTAGTAGGAACATTCCAGCTCCTGCCTTTAAAGTGAGGTATGAAGCACACTATTAATACTCTTTTTTTTCATTTCTGAAATCTAACCAATAAACAGATTTTCTTTTGAATATGTTTCATTGCACTCTGGGATGCATGAAAAACATTTGAAAGAGTAAGTTTACTGGTACATATATACTGATTGCACTGCAACCCAATGGCAATATTTGTCTCACAGTGCCCAGGAATCAAAGAGAGATGATGCACGTATTTTCTTCTAGTAAGATAATATTTCAAGTTAATTTTGCTGTGAAAAGAGCAGCACAGAGAACCTTCTGCCTCTGCTCCATGTGTCCTGTTCACTCTGAAGCTACAGACGGATTCTGCCACATGAGTGAGACTGAAGCAGTCGCTGCACGTTCATGCTGTGCACTGTTCATTACACTGCCATGTACCAAACAGAGCTGCTCAGTTCATAGTTCAGAGTGCCATTTAAGGTGAACCTGGTGGCAAAATTGGAACCATCTAAAGTCAAGACACAATTTTCCTGGAATCTTTCCTCCAGTCGTAAAAACATGTATCATGTCTTTGCCTTTATTGTCATCAATGAGGAATTTAAAGACATAGACTCATTACTCTTAAATGTCACTGCCTGTGAAAAATGCAAATACAGAGAACAAATAGGCTCCATGTTTCGAGAATAAATTCAGAGTCCCTGAACAAAAATTAGGCTTTTTCAGTCTGTCTTTGAGAGCAGACTTGACAGGGTTTCCTGAAAGCTGCCTGTTTTGCCTCTCTACTCCTATAATCCACAGTTGTACAACCTATATGGATTAATTGAACGGCAAATAGCAACATCGAGATCTACCATGCTGCTTAAAATACAGTACAGCAAAACTAGGCATGATGGCAGTAAGGATCAAAGTGAGAAGATGGCAGGAACAGAGATGTTTTTCTATGAAAATTAGGGCATCTATACTCTAGGGCATCTTAAGGTAAAACTCTCAACATCTTTTCTACCTAACCTCCAAGCAAAGATGAGCTGGAGCAGGTCAGAGCAATTCACCTGAGTCAGACTGCTACCAGACAAAATAGGTCACATTAGTTTCTTCAGCAATTATAAAAGGCTTCTTTAGCTAATGAAGTGGCTAAGATAGAGAACAGAAAAATGAAACCCTGAGCAGAGAGAACAGAAAAAAGTTCAGAAAGCACTGGGGCAGTTAAAGCTGATGTTTTGAAGCTTAAAGCTGTGCTTCAGGACTTTCCTATTCCAGGCAGACTCAGAGTGCCCAGCAAATGAGAAGGGCAGGAGTGTTTATGAACTGGATTTACTCTCTGCAAAGTTTGCTGCCAGCAATAATCTGTCATGAGCAGCAGTATTTTGAAACACTGCTGCTGAGTCATGTAGATTTGTGATGATATTTATCTCCATACAACTTCACAAGAAGCCAGAAATTCAAGGAACTTATATCTGCAGTATATGTTTCTGAAAATAAGCTTTGATAGGTCATCCATCCACATTACTGAAAGAGACAAATTCTGAGTCTTTTTCCATATATAAAATTATTTCAATTAACTACTCTTCCAGACTTACTGTCAATTTCTGGAACTTCCCTGATACTGATACTTTTCTGCTTCTCTCTTTCATTTATTTTACCACTTCAAGTAAAAAAAAAAAAAAAAAATCCTTAAAAGACTGGAAAATGACACCAAAAAAATGTGATTAAAATTCCTTAGTTTCCTTGGATTTAGTACAGCTGTGGTGAAGCGAGAATATAAGTTAATTTATGGAACCAAGATTGTCTTGCATCAGTTTTTATGTTCTGTAGTCAGCTGCCTTTTCCAAAGACCACAAATTCCTCACACAAGTGGGGAACACTGAGCACCCTCATTTGAAAAATGATCAGTCCTATCAGCATCTTTCAAGAACTTACCATACTGTTACCTAAAAGGCAGTGACTTCCATGCCAAGGGACATAAGCTTCTGACAGTAAGCTATACAAATTACAGACAATACTTTGTACTCAAAGACCTGTACTACTACATGAAGCTAAATCAGTATTTAACTCCTTGTTCTACCTAAAAGGTGAAAATTGTGTCACTCACTTTCACACTGGTAAATTGCCACTGAATTTACTCCTGCTCTACTGTGCTGGGACAAGTAGAAGGAAGACCAAACTGTGTGCACTAGCCACAAGGATGTGAATTTCCAGGATCAGATTTCTGAATAGCAACTCCTGCAGCTTCCCACTGAGGTGACCTTGCAGGTTCTACACCTCCAGGCACTTGTACTTCTCTCTTGACCTCTCCTTTCACAGCCCTATGGATGATCTGCATGAAGGCTGGCTTTTTAGGTCTTCACACTGCACTGAAAATTACCTTACAAGTAGGATTCAACAGGGAGTTTTTTTCTGCACATTAGATACAATAATAAAATTATCTCCTGTCTGTAAGTCAGTCAGTCCCTGGCCAGAACTTACATACTCATGGACAGCTTCAGAGAGCAGATAGGCCTGTCTTTCAGAGGTATAAATTAGTAGGAGGTTTTGTGCATATGAGGGATCAGGCTGAAGAAACCCAAGGAAGTCTGCAGTGTAAATTAGGCTGTTGTATTTGGTTTTTGACCTGGTCTCCCAAAATATTCATCCTAGACAGCTGACACCCACACCACACAAGCAGATAAGAGCCTACCACCCAGCAGATGCTACTTCTTGTCCCTTAAGTGACATGTGGGACAGCTGGGGGAGGTAAGTATGGTCACTGTGGAAGGGAACTGGGGCAATGCAGGGTGTGAGGGCAGACACAGGAGAGATAAAATTACTGCTGATTAGGCGTCAGTGGAAAAGAGCGAGGATAGTGGCCTCATTTGCAATATGGGTTTCTGCTGCTCCTTGTGTAGCATACAACTTGTGCTTGGTGCTCTGTGTAACATGAATGACAGAAGAGTTTGATTCCAGCTGAATCCTTCACCTGTTATTTGTCGTAACAGTATGTGTCTACAAGGCAAGACATCTGTCAACAAACGTAGAATTTGTGTTATCCTGTGGCAGATATGACATAAATCCAGAACCTCTCTGCATGAATATTCTCAAGCAGACATCTGGGCTCACAGAAGTTAGAGAAAGATCATCCTGCAAGTTCTAGCATGGACACACAATGGGATTTTAAATAAAATGTTTCTTACCAACAATCATATGGTTGCAGACATCACAGAAGGTTGGTTTTTTGAAGATGTGCTCCTGGAAGATGTGAATCTTGTTGTTTTCTGACAGCTGTTGGGCTCTGGTGGGCGAAGATGCCTGGCTTTCTGAGTTGGGGAGCTGCCCAGTGCTTGTGCTCACCTCAGGCATCAAGTCTACTTGCAGTTTCACATCACTATTAGTCCTCTGGAAGAAATTGTCTGCACTTTTACTCCGCAAGCTTTTTGTCTTGAAGGAGAGAGATCGTTTCAGTTTCTGCAGCTGCAACAAATAAACCAGTTATAATTACTATTTTTTCTACTGTAAAAGAAATGCGAGGCTCTTGGTTTTGGGGTGTGCTGTTGCCAAGTGAACCTGGGAGCTACTGTCAGACCTTGAATCACCTGAACAATAAAACTGACTTTAAGATTTAACCATCAATTTCTGAGCAAAGAAAGCAGATCCCAATCAGAAAACAACTTACCCTACACATGTTTTCTGATGGCAAATAAACTTGATAGTTCTAATGAATGCTTCTTCTAGTCTTTATTTGCAGGTACAACAACAAAGAAGTATTGCTGAAAGTTATAGGCGTTGGAGAATATACTCTTTGGATTCAAGCATGAGGGAGTTTAGAGCATTATTCATCCTCTAAGAGTACTTAATCAGCCTGTAAAGCCATTACAGGAATAGCTGTTAAATGGTAGTACATGACAAGTGAATTCAGTAAATATATTTGATATACTTAAATTTCTTGAATTTGGCAGAAACAAAGATTATATGCATTTTATATTATATATATTTTAGATTATATGCATTTAATTAGCTTTGACTAAGAAATTCTACTTTATTTTTTTTAAGGGCAGAAGTCTTAACAGCAGTAAGAGTGTAATTAGCTGGCCAATTGATTGTTAATTAATACTAGTTAACACACATTCATGTATGTTCTTATACATTGTGTGTTGATTGTCAGACTATCAAGCACCACAATAAGGCATTACTAAATTAGAGTGGTTAACTCAAACTCTGTAAATTCTCTTGTGCCATATCAGCCATCGTCTCATTTTTCATCCTCTTCCCCAGTTTTGTGTATGGTTGAGAAGGGTACTGGAAAAGGCACCAAAATGATCAGGAAATTAGCCACACAAATTTGTGGGTTTGTCAGCTCCAACATCCCACAAGGAGAGGCCAGGTAAAAGGAGAGCCAGCTCAGAGTCTGCTTTGTGTTTGCCCTCTGTGAAATGCAATAATTCTGTATCACCTTTCACTCAGCATTATTCAAACCACTGCAAAATAATTTCAATCACTGCTGCTATTCCCTGGGTAAATGTGATGTAACAACTGAAATTTTCCATGCCACTCAGGCTGTCTGTGGTAACCAGCAGGAATGGTTTATATTAGAAACTGTTTATGTTAGAAACAATGATTATTTGGAATCATAATTCACACTAATATAGAGGGAGGGAGTTTACATGCTTTCCCCAAAAAAGCATAGAGCTGGTATGTCACACTGACTCAGTGGCCTCAGAGTATTTGCTCTCCCTAGGTTCTGTTCCTGATCCATCTGATTTCTTTATGATGTGGCTGACAGCACTCTGTTGGAGAGGAGAGTCAAGACACTCTGGGGGGAAGCATATTTTCCACTTTCAGAAACAAGCAGCTTGTTCCTGGAGAGGGAGACACCAGCTCTCTACCCAATGCTTCACAATAAAATCCCAGAGTCATATAAATGGACAAGGAGCTGCTGTTGGCTCCAGTTAACAGTGTTTAGGTTTACTAAATGGAAGCAAACTGCATTCTACTTCCTGAGCTGTTCCTCCACAGTGTCTTTGGTAGTAGGGAGGCATCATAGCCTGGAGCTCACCCCACATTCACTCTCTCACCCAACAACTCACTCTGGGTTCAGGGGAGGAGCCCAGGATCCAAAGGAGGGAAATACCTATTTGCAAGAAACTCTCAGTCTCTAAGGGAAGGTGAAAATAAGAGCAATTAAGTAATTAAATGCCAACTATGAGGTAAATGCAGTTTATGGTTTCTGACGCTCTTTCAGCTGAAGACTAAGTCATGGACTGATTGAGCCTAAAACTCAATGTAAACTGCTCCATCAGAATGTGAGATCTTGCCTCTTCCTCTTGGATGTTAAGTTACAGGCTCTTGAAATCACTGAGGTTATTCAGTTCTGAGATTACTTCATCTCACCAGTGACAGCCAAGATCTCAGCAATAATTCACCTCCTTGCTCCTGAAACCTTTCTCACTGAAGTCAGACCTAATTAGTGTAGCAAAACACAGAGAATTACAACACCACAAGGTGACTGAAATGGCATCCATCATTGATTTGCCATCCATTCCTACAGTGTCATATGAAGCTAATTAAATTTCAAAAACATTCTTCCTGACAGAAAAGGAAACCTAAGCTGCGTGAGTATTTGTTTTATCATGAAACAACAGTCCTGCTTGTTTGGACAATGTATGCAGTACATTTTAAGAAGCTTTGCATTTACTATCCTTATCCCATTCTTCTGTGCACAGCTATTTACCAGCCGGGGGATCTACCAGCAGTTTTATCTCCACCAAGCAGAAAAGTCAAATTTTCCAAAGAAGACTAGTCCAGCATTCGGGCTATACCTGCCCAAACTTACAGATAAACACTCAATAGCATGGAACTGCATATTCTGTGCATTCCCTCCCAGAAAGTTCAGAGGACACATACCCAGGAATGAATTGAGCAAGTTACCTTCATATATTTGGCAGGTATCTCTGCACAAGCTGATAGTCCTTTCTGAAATTCACTGAGCACCGTCCTGTGTTCATGCGGGTAAATAATTCCCAGACAAGATGGGCATTCTTGTCAATAGCCAAGTACAAATTTCATACCCATTTGCATTCCGACTAGAAGACACCTACATGTTTGGCTTGTGTTGCATACCTAAAACACCAGTGGAAGTCTGGGACTATTACATCCCAAACAGGTTATATGTATAGAGAAGTGACTCTGAGAAAATGAAGAATATTGGCAAAATTTAGCACATTGCACAACTAATTACACATTTTACTGTTAAAAATACCTCTCAGATCTGCAGGTTTTATTTTACTTCATGAGTAAGAGGGAGTATACAGGGCCATAGAAGATTGGCACCAGGTTTTAAAATCAGATCCAACTTTCCTTTCTCATATTAGGCTCATGAGAGAGTTTGAAGTAGGGCAAAGGTATGTGATTGTTTACTTAGGAAAAGTTGGCCCAAGCAAGGGCAAGGGCTGGTTGTTATACATGTATAAACTATAAAACCATAAAAGCTTAAGTAATTATTAGACTGCAGTTGAGTAAGCATCACTTCCCTTACCTAAATATCACCATCTCCTCATTTTGAAATTTGCTGTGGATTATCCTCATAATTTTATTGCAAGATTTCAAATGTAATTAAATACAAGTATATAATAAATGTCTGATTTTGGTCTGCTGTAAACTGAGTTAATGCACTTGTGCTGTCACAGCTGCTATAACATTCACCTGAGGTGGGAATCAAATCTTTCAATAGAGAGAAAGTTATGAAACTTTATTATTTATACTTTATTTCTGCAGAGTGAATGAGTCCAAAGTTAAAGCTTATGAAGAAATACTACAAAACTTTGGGAAAAAACCCTGCAGCTAGGGTTGTTCTACACTCAGTACTTAACTGTTCAGTGAAAAATCTTGTATTGAGACTGAAACAACCCCTAGACCAAGCCCAAAAAGGCTTTAAGAAACAAATTTGAAATAAATCTCCTAAGACTTTCACATTTTCTCTATTGTGAGCAATGCTGCAATTTAGCTTTCATTTAAATAAAAAACCCATTCCCAAAAGTACAGGAGGTTTTCTAGACTTGTATTAGCATCACAAGACTTCACAATGTTGACACTTCAGAAACATGAGCCCTTGATATTAAAGCCAGGAAGGTCCTGTGGTTTGAAATTAGAGTAAGAGAAAAATCTTTGTTTCTAGTTAAAAGCTTTTCATCAGTCACACAGATTCTCAGTGACTGCACATACTAACCCCACAGGCAAGATAGAGACAAGTGCAATAGCTCAACCTCAGATCTTGATTAACCTTTTTTTCCCTGTATCTTGCAGCACAATCTCAAATTTCCTCCAAATCACTGAATGTTCAAGCTTCAAGGGATCAGGAAGCTCTGTTATCAGCACTCCTCCATTCCTAATTCCCCTATACAATAATTCTTTAGCTGCTATAAGCAGAAAACGGGAGGCAGAAAAAGAACAGCTATTCAGATTCATTGCTAGTATTAGCTATGTGCCATTGCTTTTACTGTGAATGAGAATTGCACCTGCCCGCACCAGGACTTTATTTGATGTAATTGTTGGAAGAACCCAATGCTTTTCTACAATCTTCATTTAAGAAGTTCCCATGAAAACTGGAAAGATGTAAGTGATTTGAGCTGTTTTATAATCCCTAGCTTTGCAATTACAAAGATATGCATCCACCCTGCAGAGTACTTTATTCAGGCTCCTAAGTGTTCCCTGATATCTAGGAACAATTTTGCCCTTGATTCTCCAGCTTGTCTACATTAGCAGCCAGCAGGGCTCGGTAGAAGCAGATGGGAAGAATGAGGCAGGGGCTGTTGAGCACCCAGCATGCACCCATCAGGTTACTTCCCAACACACTTGGTCTTGCTGCCTTCTCGGTCTCTGCTAAACATCCCTGCCAGCAGCAGAGGCTCCTGTGCAGTGTGGGGCCAATGGGGAGATTGTTTTGTACATTTCCACTCAACCATTTTCCAGAAGAAATGAATAAATGCGTCCCACTTATCAGCCCTAATTCACTGACTGACCATAAAACCAAGCCCTTATTTTCAGATATCAGCTGTTTGCTGTATTGTGACTGGACTAGAAATATACAAAATAATATTGTTCTCTATCTAATAATACTGTTCTCTATCCCTTTCTTTACACTGGTGTTAACAGTATCATTAGATCCACTACAAGTAATTCAGGGTATTACCAGAGTTGCAATGAGCTATCAAGCCAGTTAGAATCCTGCAAGCCTTATAAAATGTAGCTATTTGTTTAGTATGCAGACTAAAAATGCTCTGTCAACAGATTTCACTCTGCTGTGAGATAAACATCCACCTTCTGTGAGGAACCATTTCTTCTTCCTTGCAGCTTCTTAGAGCAAATTTCCAAGTTATTTGACTCTCACATTGTTATAAAAGAAAGGCTTTGACACACATGGTTCAGATGATGTTGTGTAGATTTGCTAGAGAGAATGTCAGGTACAGGGTCTGTTA